GAACAGCGGTCTTAAAGATAATTTTAGGACATTTATTGGGATAAAAAAGTCACTGTGACAGCAGTTTTTAAAGATAATTTTAGAGCATTCATTGAGATAAAAAGTCACTGACAGCAGTCTTAAAGACAATTTTAGGGCATTCATTGAGATAAAAAAAAAGTCAATGAGAGCAGTCTTAAAGACACATTTAGGGCATTCACTGAGATAAAAAGTCACTAACAGCGGTCTTATAGACAATTTTAGGGCATTCATTGAGATAAAAAGTCACTAACAGCGGTCTTAAAGACAATTTTAGGACATTCATTGAGATAAAAAGTTACGAACAGCGGTCTTAAAGATAATTTTAGGACATTTATTGGGATAAAAAACGTCACGGACAGCAGTTTTTAAAGACAATTTTAGGACATTCATTGAGATAAAAAGTCACTAACAGCGGTCTTAAAGACAATTTTAGGGCATTCATTGAGATAAAAAGTCAATGATAGCATCTTAAAGATAATTTTAGGACATTTATTGGGATAAAAAAAAGTCACGGACAGCAGTTATTATAGATAATTTTAGAGCATTCATTGAGATAAAATGTCACTGACAACAGTCTTAAAGACACATTTAGGACATTCATTGAGATAAAAAAAGTCACTGACAGCAGTCTTAAAGACAATTTTAGGACATTCATTGAGATAAAAAGTCAATGAGAGCAGTCTTAAAGACACATTTAGGGCATTCACTGAGATAAAAAGTCACTAACAGCGGTCTTAAAGACAATTTTAGGGCATTCATTGAGATAAAAAGTCACTAACAGCGGTCTTAAAGACAATTTTAGGACATTCATTGAGATAAAAAGTTACGAACAGCGGTCTTAAAGATAATTTTAGGACATTTATTGGGATAAAAAAGTCACTGTGACAGCAGTTTTTAAAGATAATTTTAGAGCATTCATTGAGATAAAAAGTCACTGACAGCAGTCTTAAAGACAATTTTAGGGCATTCATTGAGATAAAAAAAAAGTCAATGAGAGCAGTCTTAAAGACACATTTAGGGCATTCACTGAGATAAAAAGTCACTAACAGCGGTCTTATAGACAATTTTAGGGCATTCATTGAGATAAAAAGTCACTAACAGCGGTCTTAAAGACAATTTTAGGACATTCATTGAGATAAAAAGTTACGAACAGCGGTCTTAAAGATAATTTTAGGACATTTATTGGGATAAAAAAGTCACGGACAGCAGTTTTTAAAGATAATTTTAGAGCATTCATTGAGATAAAAAGTCACTGACAGCAGTCTTAAAGACAATTTTAGGGCGTTCATTGAGATAAAAAAAGTCAATGAGAGCAGTCTTAAAGACAATTTTAGGGCGTTCATTGAGATAAAAAAAGTCAATGAGAACAGTCTTAAAGACAATTTTAGGGCATTCATTGAGATAAAAAAAGTCAATGAGAGCAGTCTTAAAGACAATTTTAGGGCATTCATTGAGATAAAAAAAGTCAATGAGAGCAGTCTTAAAGACAATTTTAGGGCATTCATTGAGATAAAAAAAGCCAATGAGAGCAGTCTTAAAGACAATTTTAGGGCATTCATTGAGATAAAAAAAAGTCACTAACAGCAGTCTTAAAGACAATTTTAGGACATTCATTGAGATAAAAAAAAGTCACTAACAGCAGTCTTAAAGACAATTTTAGGACATTCATTGAGATAAAAAAAAGTCACTAACAGCAGTCTTGAAGACAATTTTAGGACATTCATTGAGATAAAAAAGTCACTAACAGCAGTCTTAAAGACAATTTTAGGGCATTCATTGAGATAAAAAGTCACTAACAGCAGTCTTAAAGATAATTTTAGGGCATTCATTGAGATAAAAAGTTACTGTGACAGCAGTCTTAAAGATAATTTTAGGGCATTCATTGAGATAAAAAGTTACTGTGACAGCAGTCTTAAAGATAATTTTAGGGCATTCATTGAGATAAAAAGTCAATGACAGCAGTCTTAAAGATAATTTTAGGGCATTCATTGAGATAAAAAGTCAATGAGAGCAGTCTTAAAAATAATTTTAGGGCATTCATTGAGATAAAAAGTCACTAACAGCAGTCTTAAAGATAATTTTAGGGCATTCATTGAGATAAAAAGTCAATGAGAGCAGTCTTAAAGATAATTTTAGGACACTCATTGGGATAAAAAAAGTCACTCCAGTAGGCTGCCTATGAGGGCAGCTTTATCCTGTGTTTAAACTTTACCAGTCTTTATGATTGTTAGAGTGAATTACTAGACATTTTATCTTCAGGTACATATCCTCCACATGAAACTGAAAAAGCTAATTAATTTGAGGTAAATTGGTTCATCACCGATAAAAAACATCAAATTAATTATGGATGCAATAATTCTTTGTAATTTGAATGCAAAAAGTATTTTAATAATTTGCTGAGACTATTATGCTTCTGGATGGAATCAAAATGACCATGAATGTAAACGCATGGTATTACCGGGTATCCACCATCGCTTTCAAATACATGTAAGGGTGAATTTATTGTTTGTGGGCATCAGCCAAGGTGGATGGGAGTGTTGGCTTACATTATTTCACTCTACATCTGATTATTAAAGACAACTGAAACAACATTGTTAAATTAAAACAAGCGTCTCGCATGGCATTCTATTTCCTGCAGTCAAACACTGTAAACATGTATTATACACCCACCTACACACGCCCACATGGTGGATGATTGACGTACCAGTAGAATTACTTTAGAAAGCATTTTGCACCTTTTTTATTTGAATTAATTATAGTTAATTAATGTAAACTGTGTCGGAAGCATTGACATTTAAATGAAATAACCAGATAACTACTGCTATATATATATATATATCATGTGTCTTCTCTATCTTTTGTGTATATTGTCTTACTACAAAATGGTTTCACCCTCATGTAGTTGCCATGGCAATTGGAATATATTTCCCCCCAATCTTATTGCAAGATTATTCCAGTTTAGATGTTCAGTGTTGTCTGGATATCACACCATGATATAACATTATTTGTTTGTAATGGCCTTTTTTAACGGATCGTCTGTTGTTCTTGATGATTCTCCTGGTGACTGGGATTGGATTGAAAATGTAAGTTTAGCATTGTCATCATTGTAGCTGAAACCATGTTGTGTTGTATCATTTAAGATGACCTTAGCAAGATGAAAATACTAGCTGTATTTTGTATCCCCACGTAAATGAAGTATGCATGTACTGTCCATTTTTGCCCTCTTCTGTTATAGTGCATTTTAATCAAATAAAATTCTCTCATCTCATAGCGATTTAAATGCATTGTGGTGCTCTGAAATCAAGGTCTTTTATAATGTAGCGATTTCCCTGCCATGAAAACATAATTAAATATCCCCTGATTTCCAAGCTGTATGTTAATATGATAAATTTTGAAGACTTGTTCCCATTCTTCATTCAGTATTAATTCTATAACTGGAATTAACCCTTTCAAGTTCAAATGCAAAATTGTCTATTAATCTTTAGACATTATTATTTATTCTACAATTGATGTAATTTCTCATGATAAATTATTCAATTTATTTATTGTGCAGTTTGATTACATCTAAAATGGAATCATAGTATTCTGGTAACATTCACTTTTGGGATGATCCTCCAGATGACATGTGAGACTAGATTGAGATTCAAATGGTAATTTATTTTGTCAGGGTCTCTGCTGGTTGCTTGAACAGTATATGCTTACCAAATAAATTGTTGTGTAACCCAACCAAGCAAAATTAAATAATTCCAACACATACAGCATTGTTGACCAGTATCATACTCCTCATATAATAATTTATTAAATATTCTGATGCGTTGAAATTATTAAATATAATTATGAAGATTTTTATTTTATTTAACAAGATACCATTCAAAGCTTATCTTCAAACAAAATTGGTCAATATTGAGACTGGTTCGTAGCATATTGTAATATGTCAGTGTGTATATATTCAAATTTAGGTCTACCAGCTAATATATTATATTATAATCATTTATTTTTAAATATGAAATATTCCTGAAGAGTTGCTAAGCTGGTTAATCTGACCTGGGTTGAAACATTGCCAAACAGACCTCTATTACTGCTATTCCCATTGTCGTTTTAATTTTTACTGTAGATTGTACTAACCTTCAGATTATAAGTTTCCTTGAATGACCTGTCTCTAAACCCTATTTAGTGTTATATATTTCATTATCATTAGCATTTATTTAAAATTTACACAATTTACTTCTCAGACTAGAATTTAATTCTGTTGAAAACTACGACCATCTGGGTTTTTTCCTATTATTAATTTATGGGGATTTAATAGTTGACTAATAAATTTATATTTTTATAGATTATATTTTCGCTGATGTCATAGTAATGGTAATTCTGTAAAATTTCCTGCACAGGTTTTTGTGCAACTTTTCGCACAATTTCATAGGTCTCCAAGAATCCATTTTGGCACTCCTCACATACGTCAAATTACAGACATATATTGAGCATATGTGATAATTGATTATTACACAACACAAACCAAATTTTATGGTGTACAAGTCACTGATAAACCCAATTAAGGTAGAGATGCAGTTTATTTGGCTTGCTTTTTAATTGAGTAATTAGACAATGAAGATGGTATTATATATCCAACATGTTATATATTTTCTGAAAGCTTATTATACAAACTTTGTAAAACTTGTCTTTATTTTAAATATCCAGAATGCGTTTTTGATTTTGGGTCAAAAATATGCTTTTTTGGACAAAAGTGGTTTAAAAAAAATTAGCTTAAAAACTTGAAGTCCGTTTGTGGGTAAAATTACATCACTGGATACCTTGGTA